ATATTCAAGTGCCGTGCTTAGCAGTGCTATGTTTGAGGTTTACTGTGGTGAAACTATAGCAAGCTGCAAGGCAGTTCCAAAGCACCCTGGGCTGCTAATTTTTTTTCACAACATATAGCATCGATGGCCTTTTAGCAATATTTTTAATGTTCCTAGAATGAAATCAATCCTCCACTTAGAGAAAGGTTGATGTTTATAGGCAGAATCATATGAACTGTTAGAGGCATAAAGTCTCTCGATCATATGAAGTTAGTATAAGTTTAGAGGGTTGAGGACTTCACAGAATTGGTCCCTTTAATGCCAGTTGGAAAATAATCTTGTTTCCATGCTCATGTTTTTAACCATTATGTTCTATATTGATTTGATTAATAGTGTCTTAGATTTATTTTAAGGCCAGTAGGAGAAGTTGGAAAGATCACCTGACCTGATCTCCTGTCTCAGACAACTGAGAGAATTAATTCTGGTTATTCCCTTATTGATTTCAGTTGATCCTGACGTGTCCCTAAGCGTAAGCTGCTGTTCACAGCAGTGGGGCTGTACCTGAGATTGTCAGTCTGCCTCAAATCCATAACTTGATTTAATAACCTCAGTTTTGCCGGTCAGTTCTCAGTAATCCTGATAAACTCTGTATATGGGAGCTGGTTAAGGGAAGGCCTCTAATGAATGTTTTCATAACTTACGCTTTATCACAGCAGAACCTTCCTTTATCCTTGCCAAGAGACAGGCTAGAAAAGAGATTATTGACAGCAAGCAGTATTTTATGGGCATTGATAGGGGGCTGTCCTCACAGGGAAGAAACTCACTGGAAGGTGGGAAAATCTGGGTTGTTATTGGGCTTCTTCTCAGGATGTGTAAGGCCCTGTAAGGTCTTTAAAAATGTCCAAAACAGTCCAGGGGAGGAACAGTTTTGTTTTACTGTTTCAAGGCCCACTTCCTTACTCTGGACTAAGTACATACTGTTTCTTCCCATGTTAATTGACTCAGTCATTTCCATTTAGAAGCTTTAACAGAAGCTGAGGGCTGCTAGCTCCATTAAGATATTATGCAAGTCATTCATGTGTGCGAAGCCATCCCTTCAGATTTTTTTTAATGTGCATTTTAGGGAATAGTTAGTCCCCAGTTGCTCACATCCTGTGCTTTGGCAGCACTGCTCTTTATGCTGCAGTAAGAATATCAGCTTAATAATAAGGTGTGCTGTTTGCTTGTTCAAGCAGAGAAGTGGAGCTGTTTTGAAAACAAGCCACATTTCAACAAACAGCAATTTGAAACTAAGGCCCCAGCTAGATGTGCAGTTAGACATGATTGGATCTTATTCATGATCCACACAATCACGCTTCCTGCCATGCCACACAAAGAGGCAGGATTGTGGGATCAAGTATCAGATCCCATGACTGCCAAGTAGTGAGCTCCTGTTGCTGGGAGCTCCTTCAGCTGATGGGGCTCCCAGCTGCTAGAGTGCACCTGGCTACACAGTCAGTTAATGAAATGCTAGGAACCTGCCACAAAGTTATTGCACCTTCTTGTGGAATAACTTTGTGGCTTATTCCTCCTTTTATTATACCATTAATTGATTGAACGTGTGGCTGGGTTATAACTTAAGACGTGATTAAGTGATTAATCACATCTTAACATGTAACATGTCCCAGGTGCATAAGGTCGTCATTAATATGTATTTGTATTATGGTAACCTCTAGCAAGGTCAGCTTCTATTTCACCTATTAGGTATCTAAGTGGACTTAAGCATCTAAGTGTGATTTCTGTTCCACCCTGTTCAAGTCCTGAAAATCCATTAGTGCATCTACTTTTGTAACACCCCATCACCTTACCCTTAAGGCTAAGTTGCAAAAAGTCTATGAAAAGAAGGGAGATGGACCCTTCTTTTTGCTGTAGCAGTTCTTCCAGGATCTGAGCAGGGTGGAATAGAATAGCATTTAAGGACATTTTTACATGTGCAAATGCCACAGCGCTGAGTGCTTTGAAAAGCACCTGGTGCTGCAACTCTTGCAGTTGTATAAGTGGTGAGATGCGCATCAGCACTGAGAAAATGACAGCAGTGCACTTTTGAACTAAAACACCGTGGAAGTGCTTTTCCAAAATGCACCACCGCCATTTTCTGTGCACTGACATGCATTTTGTTGCTTCTACAACTGCATGCAGTGCAGCGCAGTATGCGTCTGCTCGCAAGTGGAGCAGACTCATTTAATTGAGTCTGCTCAGAAGCAGTGGATCTGTGGCATATCACCAAACAAAACGGTATGTGTATAAATGCCCTAGGTGCCTAAGTCCAACTATGTGCCTAATAGGCAGAATACAATCTGGCCCTGGAGGTTCCATTCATGAGTTACGCTCATGGTTGAGCAGTCATACAAAATGGAGCGAGAGTTTCCATTCCAAACAGGCAATAAAAATATATGACAGGAGCCAACAGGTAGAGATGTCTGTTTTCTTTGCCTTCAAGGTTCTGATTTTTGAAATAACATGTTTTCCCTTTGCATGCCACCTAGATAAAGCCTCTCTTTAAACCTGAAGGAAACTCATGGGTACCAAAACAGCTCAGAACTGAAGCAGTGATCTGCATGTGTGTCTACATGAAAGTCACAACTGTACTTTCATGTAGACATAAACTAGCTTTCAACCAACTATTTGATGCACGACATGTAGTTTGGCTGGAGCAGCACAGATCTCAGTGTTGGTAAAATATACCTGACCTCTCAAGCAGGTCTCCTCCTGTCACTAGACTGCTCTCGGAACCAAGGAATGAACGTCTATCTGGGTTATGTCTGTGCCACACAATATAGTCAGTGTGGTATCTGCAGTGCAGACAATTTCCAGTGCCATATCCATTTCTCTGTCTTGTCTTTTTAACTTGTAAGCTCTTCAAGTGGTGGAGAGTGTCTGCTACCCTTGGTTTTGTATGGGATCTGGCATAATGCAGCTCTGATCTCAGTGCTTCCCAGAGCACTGCCATAATAAATTTTGCTATTTAATATTATCCTTCTACCTGAGACTGCAATTGTATTAATGTGATTAAGCAAATTTGGACCTGATCTTTACATACGTGAGAGAGAGCCAAGGAATGCATAAGAGCTGCAGGAAGTGGAACTGGTGATACAGAGAGTGGCGCTTTCTCTCCCACCAAGTAGAGAAATATTGTCCAAGCAGGTACAACAGGAGGACTTGCCTAAGAGAAAAATATATGCTACAGACTCCAAGGACATTTTCTTCCCTCATCACAGCCTACTCCAGTAGAAGTTATGCCTTTTCCATCTCAGACTGGCATTGGGCAAGCCAAAGCAGTGTGACTGCACTCGAGTCAGGACTTCAAGTATGAAGACAAAGGAAGCCATAAAGTAGTGGAGATAGTGAGTAAATTTTTGGCCCAGGCAGGAAAAAGACAGTGTTTTTACTCAAGCATTGTATTTCAGTCTACGCAAGTTCAGAATCTAGATGTCATTCAGTTAGGCCTGTGAGTGTTAAATTATGTGTCTGAAGCATAAACCTACCAAATATGCAAGGGTCAAGTCAGTTTTTTAACTCAGAAATCTCATGACCTAAGTGAAATTGTGATTTGTTCCCAGGCTACTATTCAGCTCTCCAACCAGAGCAGCCAGGTGAATACGCACAGTGATTATGTAACTAAATTGCTTAATGTATAAATGTCCTGAGGTTTTTATGTTAACGTTGCTGCTGTGTGTGAGTCTTTGTTGCATGTAATTAAATCTGTCTAAATTGCTAGATATTCTTAGATCTACCTAGGTGAGGAAAAGTGCTGCAAGTGATTCCCTGTTGCATAGAAATATGAGCTTTCCAGTAAATGAAATGAATTAATCCTCCTCTCCCCTCCTCCAATCTTTCATCCCTGGCTTTGATCATCATTAGAGCTCTGTAGTTTAGCAAACATCTAAGAGCTGTTTTTGTGTTTTAGGCACCATACATGCTACGGAATGAAGCCCTCTTTATCAGCAGAGGGGATATTGGTGCTATAACAGATTTGCTCCTTGATATTCGAGACAATGACAATCCTCAGGATGTAGTGATAATGGTTTTAGACCCTCCGCATCATGGCCGGCTGGTCAAAACTCCAGGGGATGCAGCTTCTGAGGTCCGAGTATTGAGCCTTCATGAACTGGCCAGTGGACTCCTACATTATGCTCATGATGGCTCCAGTAGTCTGGATGATACAGTTGTTCTTCAAGTGAATGATGGGTACTACTTTCAGAATGTTCTGTTCCATGTTAAGATTGTTCCAAAGGTATGTATCATGGTAAAAATCCTCTCATGCAGCGCCCAAATTAGAAGTACAAAAACACGGCATATTCGTTAAATACCAGGTCTCATTGATGGGGATGCAGTCAGAGATGGGGCAAGTGATAGGGTTGTTAGAGGGCTTGCAAACATCATTGACGTTTTGGTAGAAAGTACTAAATAAGGAATACTTCACTTTAAATATAGTTTAGCTTCCAGTTTTAGGGGATGAACTTCCAAAACTTGGGGGAAGAACCAGAGGCTAATTGATAAATGGATTCTCATTTTACTTTGTCTGCAGTTTTTCAGGCTAGGGTTTGGAACAAACAATAAATGTGAAAGTGGAAAGGGGCTTGACTCCATCATTGTTCCCTGTGAGGGAAGAAGCACTGGTGTGATAGTAACACCTCTCATTGATTGATGGGCAGCTAACATAATACTGTTGGAGCTGTACCATAGCTGAAATGTTCATGTCTTGATCTAAATTTTCCCCAAGGGAAATTTGGGCCAGTAGAGTTTAGAAGCAAAGTTCTCATTCAGATCAGGTTCAAATTTCCCCAAAACGTGGGTTTGAGAGTGTGACTGAAGCCCATTTCTGACTGGTTTTAAATTGAATACTTAATTTGATTTCCTGGCCAAAATAGGATGTATAGCTATTAATATAGATAGCTATCAATATCAGGGCAGGAGTGCAGATGGCAAAAATAGAGCAGGTTGGTATTTAGAGAAGAGTGGTCTTCAGTCAATATGTAACCCAGTAAGTTAGTATGCCATTGTCAATACTAAATTGTGAGGAGAGTGAATTTGTATGGGGAATGGATGGATCTCAGAAACCAGGTGCCGGAGCATTTTTATCAGTTAAAAGTCTGGGCTAAGAAAGTATTCACACCCCTGACTCCATCTTCAATATGATGGAAAAGTGTTGAGTGGGATGGCTCTAAGGTAGTGATTTTCAACCAGAGTGTCATGGCACCCTGGGGTGTCTTGAGACTCTTTCAAGGGTGTCCTGGGGTGATTTGCAATGTTAGCACTGTTAGGTGTGCAAACAGGATTCACATGATAAACCCAGTGGTTTCAAATAGGAATCCATAGCATTTAAACCTGTTATGGCACTCTTTTCTGTTGTCAAAAAATGAGTGAAAATAAGAGCTTGCATTTTCTGAGGGGTAATCTAACTAGGGGTTCCTTGGGTCTGTAAAGGTTGAGAACCACTGCTTTAAGGGTACATTAGTATCTCCTAAGATTACCATTCTCGCTGCTTTTTTAATAAACACTGTTCCCCCTAACACTTCTTTCTCACTTGGGCCTTCTTAATCTTTAGGAAGGTTTCCAGTGACCTTTGAGTGTAGACACC